TATACGCCGCAGTGCCTGAAAAATAACAAAGAGGGTCCTTTAACTTGACGTTTCGTATGCTTTAGCATACGTCTTCTGAAGTAACCTTTAAATGAAGTAACGACGTTATTCAAGTGTACGATGAGAAACCATTTAACGCGAAAGGAATACAGCTACAAATGATGGCACAATTGTCTTACACATAGAACATCAAAAAAATAAAGATAAAGGTCTTTGAGGCTAAATTTTTTGGTCAAACGCGGCCTCAAAAAGTTTTTCCTCTCGGTTGAATCCTGAGCTTTCGTGGACGTCAATCAACGTGTTTCTATGGTTTCCTCACGAACTTCTCGTTCATCGATTCTAGATCTGTTTGAAGAGCGAAGACTTGCAAGAATATTTCTCTCCGGTATGACCAAGGCGTTTCAATTTTCGCTGAGGTGATACTTTTAAATTAAATTTGTGAGTCTGAAAATCAATATTTACCATAAGTTTGAAGCAGCTATATACACTTGCAACTCCTCTAGATGCATGGAGTTCTACTGAGCCAGTTCTGTACTCTATTTGATAGCATGAAAATGATAAGTCACGGTTATGCAGCTTGCGAAATTTTGTTCACGTTTCGAAGTAAGCCTTTATTCAGAGGAAAGTTGATCTGTCACGACATATTTTGCTTTGTTTTTTTTTACGTTTAGACCAAGCAGGTGCACACATAAAGAAAGGTTTGTTAAAATAGCACCTCCCCAATCACTTACCGTATTTATTCGATTAACCGCGCTGGGTGCTTATTAAATTATTTTAGGTGGGCGCTTATTACATTTTACACCATTTTAAGCACGTGTAGTAATGCTTATTTTGCAACAAAATAATAAATGGTACATTTGATAACAAAACGCGAAGATGTAACAAAACAACTGAGGTTTCTGTAAAATACTCTGAAGCAAACACCGCCTTCGGGGAAGTCTCTTATTAATTGTATTCAGTTTTTTTAGAGGGGGTGGGAAGGGAAATAGGGTGAGGTGGGAGTGGGCGCTTATTTGAGTTTGACTAGGAGGGAGGTGGGTTGGAGTGGGCGCTTATTCGAGGCTGAGCGCTTATTACCTTTTTTTGTCTTTAGGATGGATGCTTATTCGAGGTTGGGCACTTATTCGAATAAATACGGTAAGAGTCTTTCTCGTTTTTCGCCCGTCACCTCTGAAAGCAATCCCTTCACTTCATAGACTCTTACTCTACGGGACAAACCCTACATAAAGACCAGAGGTATTTGATCTGACCAATATTCTTGAAACTATATCTCTTCAAAAACTGTAACTTACGCGCAACATATCAACTCTCACCTAGCACTAAATATTCATCAGAATTCAATTCTAAATTCAGTTTTATTAATATTCATTTTTAGAAGTTGTGAAATTTTTTATCGCACTCAATGAAAAGAGATATTTGAGATTTTTCTCTTTAAAGTAGGTTTCAAAAAGTCATGTTTTAGTTTTACGTATAGATTCAATCTTTTATTTAATTGTAGCATATTACATATGTTTTATTATCAGTAGTAGGTTAACCCTTTTCAGACGGGGGCTCTTTTGGATCCATGTCAACCGAAATTGACAAACATGCTTTTCAAAATTTGCTTTTTTCCTATTTAAAGGATTTATTTCTATTTTTACTTATCAAATTTAGCAATATTTTAACAAATTTATCAATTGTAGCTGTTAGTGTAATCCAGGCTTTTCTGAGACTGTTTTGAGAAAAACACGTGAATTTAAAAGACCAAGTGCTTGGCAGATGTTAGCATTTCTGTTCTTAACATTCTTGTTCATTTCGCGAATTTTCACAACTTACGGATTTGTTAGTTTGTTAAGCATCCTGTTACACACAAATCAATTTTTTCCTATTGCAATTTCCTCATTTAGATGGGTTTTAGGGAAAATTGAATACATTTAATTAATTCAAATTGGTGGGTCCAAGATGATGGATGGTTTCAGATCCTTCTTAGTAATAACAGGAGCCCATAACCCGGAGCGAGCAACTCCCATACTAGGCCTATGTCACGGCGTTTTTACGGACAAGTTTATTTTTAGACACATTTTAGGGCTTTTTCCCCGCGAAAATAGAATCTCCACCACGGTCTATGAGCGCATTCGAAGTATAAGATAACAAAAAGAAAAAGCAAACGTTATTAAAAGGCAAAAATATATATCATTTTTAGGTCTGTAGGTTTTGCTGACTGGTTTGTGGGATTTAAAAGATATTTAAAATTAGCGCCAAAACCGTTCTAAAAATATTTCTGGTCCATGAAAATGCCATGACACTAGCTCAAGGAAAACTTTCTCGCTCCTGGTTATGTTGTTAGAGGTTATTAATGTGCTAGCCAACTCATTGATCTTGTCAGACGCCTTACTATTTTAAGCATTTTTCCTTTTTAGGGGGAAAATTGATTGAATTTAGATTCTTCCAATAAATTCAACAATACGACGTCACAATGTGGCCAAATTACGCCATTGTGTCAATCAAAAACTGTGTCTATAGTTGTTGGAAATGATGATTATATTATTTCGTGTAATTTTGTTGGCAGTATCATGAGCGGTTTTGCAGTTACAGAGGGGGTGGGGGCGGTTCTGGCTCCGGAAGCAAAAAAGGCTAGTCTTATTAGGGTTAAGTGTTCTCAAGCAGGCCTTTCTACGGTAATTAGAACCACGACTCTTTTTGGGATAACGTTTTTATAATTAATCAATAAATCAACTTTATTTAACCACGGGACACCTAGGACTAGTTCACATGTGTTCGATTAAAACGTGTACATGTATAATGAAATAAATGTAAAAGAAATCAATAAAAACTAGTCAAGTAATATCGAGCAATCTAAAATACTAATACGTTAAAAATGATATTTACAATTAGTATTCACAGACATTATTTACAGATGAAATTTAAAATCCTTATAAAATTTGAAAGCTTTTAAAGATGAAGGCTTCAAGAGATCGCTTAAGAATTCTAATGTCTTTCGATTCTCTAATCACTGGCGATGAACTATTTCACGTAAAAGATTTATGCATACATTCTAAATTAAAAGATGGCAGCTCAAGCGTTGTGCCAAGCTCACGTAAATTATATGAGACACTCTTAAATGTAAAAAAATCCACTAACATACAGTACGCATTGGTCGGTACAAACACTTGTACAACATAATTAACGATTGAAACTGTTGATGCTGATCTAAAGTTTGGATATCAGTCATGCAGCTATATTTAAAAGGGTATCATATGAAACAGACTTCGAATAGTTTAAAATGGATCTTAATAATTAATAGCCATAAATAATAGTTAGTGTTCTCCATTTTATTAGACTCGACATTACCAATACCCTTAAAAAGAGGACTACAAAATTCCAAAAGAAGAGGACTTCAGTTAACTCCGTTTATTGCGGACACTGTAAGGGACCTCGAGTTAGTGTCCTCATTAGCGAGAGTTCATAATTGCGGGAGTTTGTTTCAGTCAAACGTCTGTAATTTGTTTTTGGCAGGGATTTAGCTACTGTCCGTATTATCGGGGTGTCCGTTATAGCGAGGTGTCCGCAAGGCGAGAGTTGACTGTACACATATAATAAGCGACCACTTGGCGTGTGGTCTGATCTCTTTCAGCGCTGTATACGAGCATACGAAAATCTTTCTGTCAAAACATGAAACGACTCATATCGTACCTTAGAAATTGCATGCAATAAATTCCCTCCAAAAAGAAGATCCGTAAGCAACACCGTGCCGTAATTGACCACTAAAACTTCGCATTTTGAGTGGTCGCTTAAGGGAGGCCCGACTGTAGTCAATAGATCTAACAATAAACACTTAATGACTGGTCCTAAGAAAAACAATTAATTTTGTTCTTGGAGAATCTCAATGTTTCCCGAGGCGGAGCCCTGGTAATTTTGAGGCTGGACATTCAATAAATCTCGCTGTAATGGCGGTCGTCGGTCAACACTAGGGACTTTACGCAACGACGACGGGAGGTTTTCACGACGGTATTCCCGACCGATAGGGACTGGAACGATAACCTCAGTCTGTCCAATGTCAAGTTACGGTACGCATCGATGAATTCTAGAAGGACACTCCTGATTTTGGCGCGAAATGCAAAACAATTTTCTCGGCGACGCGGGCGAAAAGGATTAGACTTAAACTATTAAACTATTTATCTTTGCAGCTGTTGATTCTAAAACCTTGATTTCCGACTAGTGACTGCTTTATACGGTATGCGTTCTTTAAAAGAAGTCAGAGATATGTTGCTTTTGGTCACAGTTCGCTAATGAAAATTTTATCAATGACGAAGATTGTTTTGCTGTTGTATGAGTTAACAAATCAAGCCAAAATTCTCGTCCGTTTAGCCTTATATTAAAGAACCGCCGTATATGAGACTGCTCACAAATATTTGTTAACACTTTCATTCTTAAATCAATGGAAACTAGTGGAAACAAAACCACGCCTGTTTTCTGGATGTAAAATACTTTAACTTACGTTCATGACCTCGTGTTCGTTTCAAGATGCGCGCTTCGATTTCTCAAGGAAAAAATTGGTCACCTTGAAGTTGAAAATCCGCGTTAAACACATCAGGTTGGAAACTATGATGAATGACCTGAAGTTAAAGGTCGATGGACCGATAAATGTAGCGAAGAAAAATATTTTCTTAGTAATGGAACTCATGTCGACTCACGTCGACAAGTCGACTTCAAAACAGGCCAACTGAAGTTGTGGACTGGAGCACGATGGCTTTTACACATGAATACCTTCACGATGGTGCATTATCGTGACGTAATTTTAAACCGAACGCCGTCGTATAAGCTTAATTCCTGACGTCACTGGGTAAAGTCCCTAGTCGCAGGGAACAATACACTGTTACCCTCTGACGTCACAGATTTGCAATGTCTCCAGCTCAGAGATTTTGGCGAGAAACAGTTTCCTCGTTATAGATTTCATGCGACCTGGAAGTAACAAATGAGAGCACGCGCTGTTGGAAAAAGTTCTCCAGCTATATAACAATCTAATTTGGCAATGAACATAAAAGTTCTCTCATGGTATCCTTTACGGCTTGCCTTACTTCTCTAATCTTCCAACAGTACAGCAAGGGGTTTAAAGAGGAGTTTAGAAGAACTAAGGTACCGGTAAATTCCCTTGCATGGTAAAGCGATAGTGGCATCCCTCGCTGATGTTTCAAAGCTTCGGTTATAAGGAACGGCAGATAAGAAACAACCAATGTCATCTGCACCCACAATGCAGCGGACACTGCCTTTCTGTATCGCGCTATGTTAAGCGGAACTGGTTGGTTCTGCTGTCTTTGAGGAAAGTGGTCCAGCACTTGGATTTGGTTATGACGCAGAATGACGAAAATCTTGACGTAACAGACAAATGAGGTGACGAGACAAACAGATAAGCCTAACTTGATGCACCATGACGTCACATTGGGATCCCACAGGTAGGTCAATATACCCACAATGGACAATATCCAACCTACAATTAGGGTCACCAGTGTTCTTTTCAAAGTTACAACTTGTCTGTATCTCAGCCCCAGTAACAGGGCGAGAAGTCTGTCCACGCTGATTACAGCCAATGTAAATAATGACACGGCACTAAAAACATAGCACGTGAAAAAAGATAACAAATTCGCGTAAAAGCAAATATCCCATTTATCGCTTAGCACGGACATAAAATAGGCAACATAAACAGGCTCTGCAATCACACCGACACAGAGATCAGTTATCGCTAGGTTACGATACAGGAGTTTGGACGGAGGATGAAGTGAAGATTCTTTCTGCAGAGCGACTAGGATCAGAGTGTTCCCCAGAAATGCAGTAATGGAAACAGAAATATTAACCACCAAGAGAAAGATTAGCTCATGTTTTACTTCTCCAGTTAACTCGGCCATGCATCGAGATTCCCTGTTGAATTTCTCCAGGCTTTTATTTTCTGCAAAATTTGTTGCTTGAACCATTTCTCTGTAGCAGGAGCCGTTGAGAGTAGGCTGTTTGTTTAAAAAAGAAAATAATGATTTTTTTTCTTCTGGTAATGAGGAAAGAACATTGATTGTCACCAGTGATATGCGCTTTCTTATAGTTAGCAATTTCTATGCTCTTTATTTACCGTTAAAAAGCCCGTCGCTTGAGTATTTTATTGTATGAATGGAAGATTTGAGAATGTATCACGAAATTCCATGTTAGCATTAAGGACAGCAACAAATTAGTTTCATTGAAGTTACGCCATGGGGAGTTATTTCCTGAAAATTTGAGATCGAAACTTTACTCCCATACAAACACGGTAATTTTACCATATATACCTACCTTGTTACAAGTTTTGTGGTGTGGCTGGATATTGCCAAGATGGCGGATTGATCCCGAGACAAAAACAATTAAAAAGGAAAACTGAAACAAACACAGAAATGCGAAATAAAACCAGAATATATTTAAACAAATTCACCGAATATTTTGGTTTGTTAACTCTCGGGGAGGGGACGCGAGATCACTTGCCGGTTTTAGTAAACTTTATATCGTCAAAGTAAAGGCTAACAAGAGATGGAGATAAAACACACACAACAGAAAATGTCTCCATTCCATCTATAGCCCGCGTCGAAGACCTTATTTAACCTCGTCTGCGGCAAAACATAAACTTCCAAAAATTAGTTTGCAAAACTGAATAAAAAGGTTCCTAAGGAATGATTAAAGTTCATAATCTATTTCTCTTTTTTTTCTGATATTTAACCTTCTACTTACCCCTAGTTCTTTTCCCCCGTGTGTTTCACTTTGCTCACCTGCTTGCCACCGAAAATAAATACCAAAAACTGTCCACTGCTACCGCCTTTTTAGCCAAACTTATAAAATTTCATGCAAGAAACTCTGTTTGATAATAGACCAATTTCGACGTATCTCAATTAATACTTGGGGTCGATACTTTAGAATAAAAAAAGATGTATCATTCATCACTAAATTTCTAGGTGATTTTTTTATATATTCCCCTAAGCCTGAATATGGTCTGTCAACAGAAAATATTGATTAGGAACCTTTTTTAAGTTATCTTTTAGTTCCTGAGCGCGATTTGAAAATGAGAAGGATACATTATACATATTTTCAGTACCTTCTTTTCATTTATCGGGTAGTCAGTTTTAAAATGTGCTTTAATCTTTAATTTGTTCAACAGAAGGCGTGCAAGAGATTCAAACTCTGTTTACCTCGATTTATGTAAAGTTCCGCCTCAGAGCATCTGCCTTTTCCTCGGCAATTTCAGGATATGTTAAGGGATGTTTCTTCTGGTAGATAATCTTCAAAAAGTAGTTGTCATCCGTCGAATTGTATTTTTGCAGATATTCTTGTATATTTTAGGGCATTAGCGCAGCTGTTTTGTCTTCGCTTTACGATTGAAATCTTCTGCCACTTTTTCCAACTATGCGACTGCCAAAACAGCTTAGCGCCGCGCCGCCGTCTGTCCCTTTTCCTGTCAATCACCCGAAAACTGGAAGACGACACTTTTGTGGATATCTACAAACATCTTCCAAAGTTGGTAAATGCTAGCAGGTTGTGAAGACATAGCCGGGTAATTTTAGCCAATCAGAATTGTGAGAGGTGGCGAGACTGTTCTGTTTTAATTTGTGTTTAGCAGCTCAAATGTCTTCCGATTTGGGTTGCACATATGGTTCACCCAGCTAGAAAATAAGGCGTGTAGTCTTTCGAAACTTTATTTAGAATGTGAATGTGAATATGAATCCTGACAATTGGGAAGGCGTTTTTGGGCGACGTACCTCAATCGGAAGTGAGGCCTTCTACCTTTTAAATTTTTATTGGTACCTTTCTTTACCTTTATAGAGACGATTTGCCAAAACGTTCGGACAAAACAAACTACCTGTAAGAACTCGCAGGCAGAAACTTCAATTCCGATTGCCGTCCGTGGCCTCAAACGCCGTTAAGGTCACTCATGTCCCTTATATAAACTGCTTACACTATCAAAACTCGGAGTGCGAAAACTTTCGTCTTTCCTTTTTGAGTTTATAATTCAGTGGTCTGCTTCCTCACTATAAGCCTTGACTCTATAAAGTTTGCCCCTCAGGCCGTGGAGGAGGATCAAGATCTCAAACGACGTAATAGGAAATATCACGCAATCTGCGAAAATAGTACTGCGGTGCTTGAATAAGAGCACAGAGGATCCTTTCTTTAACTTGAAGTTTCGTACGCTACACCATACGTCTTTGACGACATAACGACATTCAAGTGTGAGAAAGATGAGAAACTATTTAATGCGGAAGAACAAAGCTACAAATGATAGGATGTTCTGTCGTGAATTGTAATACGTCTAATACCTGTCGTAAATTGTAATAACAGTTGTCGAGAAATGTAATGACCAAGCTATCGTAAATTGTAATAACACGCTGTCGTAAATTGTGATAAGCCGAGTTGTCTTGAATTGTAATAACATATTGTATTTTGTAATAAGTCAGTCAGTTGGTCGGTGAGATGATTTAGTTGTTGCTATAATGCTGGCTACATAATAGCTTAAATGTTTTTGATTGACAAGAAAATTTCAGTAGGTAAGCCCTTGACATTAAGAGGTATTGCAAAATACGGCAATGTCTTATTGCAATTCACGACAGCTAGGCTTATTACAAATTACGACAACGTTTATTACAATTTACGATAGCTGGGTTGTTACAATTCTCGACAACTGTCATTACAATTTTCGACAGGTATTACAATTCACGACGACATTATTTCAATTTACCACAGAACATGGGACAAATGCCTTACACATAGAACATCAAGCAAATAAAGATAAAGTTCTTTGATGCTAAATTTTTTGATCGGTTTTACGGCGGTAAGCAATTAAACGCGGCCTCAAAAAAGTTAATTTCCTCTCGGTTGAAACCTGAGTTTTCGCGGACGTCAATCAACTAGTTTCTATGGTTTTCTCACGAACTTCTGCCTCATCGATCTGTTTGAAGAGCGAAGACTTGCAAGAATATTTTCTCCGGTATGACCAAAGCGTTTCAAGTTTCGCTGAGGCGATACTTTTAAATTAACTTTGTAAGTCTGAAAATCAATATTTATTGTGAGTTATAAGCAACTATATATATGCAATGAACTTTATACTCAATACACGCTCGCAACTCCTCAAGATGCGTGGAGTTCTACTAAGCTATAGTTCTGGATTCTATTTGATAGCATGAAGAATGATAAGTAGCTCTGCAGCTTACGAAATTTTGCTCTTGTTTCGAAGAAAGCCTCTATTCAGAAAAAAGTTTATCCATCACGACATTTTTTTACGTTATGACCAAGCAGGTGCACACATAAAGTAAGATGACCTGTGAATAGGGGGGAGCCCAATCGGACTTGGAGATAGCTGGTTTTCGGCGAAAACTATGTAAGTAGTGCGTTCACATAGGGCATTGTGTTAATAAAAAAATATATAGAAAAAAAATGAACAGAAGAACTTTAATTTGTTTGACCATTTAATTCTTTTTATTTAACGCTCTATTACGATTTTAGGGTAAAGGCCTATTGCTTTAAGGGGGATAGACTTTGAAGGTAAAATTTGAAGTGGACAGACAGACAGGGGGCGAATAGGTCCGTTGTCAAAAGGGGAGAGCCCAAATCAGAAATTAAAGTTACAGATTCAATAATTAAGTGTAAAAGGAGTATGGATTTAGACAATGAAGAAGTAGGCTTGGAGCCAGCCATCTTTGAAAGAATGTGTAGTAGTTCCCTCACTTAGGTTTTCACCACCATCTAACAGTCTGTTCTACTACCAAGCAAACTTCCTCCGTATTTATTCGATTAACCGCCTTGGGCGCTTGATAAAATTTTTAGACCTTAAGAGTGGGCGCTTATCCGAGGCTGGGCGCTTATTACATATTTCACCATTTTAAGCAAGTGTAGTATGTTTATTTTGCAACAAAATAACAAATGGTAATAACAAAACGTGATATGTAACAAAGCAAGGTTTCTGTAAAATACTCTGAAGAAAACTTCGTCTTCGTGGAAGTCTCTTATTGGTACTTATTCAGTTTTTTGGGGGGTGGGAGGGGAAATGGGGTGGGGTGGGGGTGGGGGTGGGCGCTTATTTGAGTTTTTGAGTTTGAGTGGGAGGGAGGTGGGGCGGGGGGCTCTTCTGGAGCAATGTCAAGCGAGTTTTGACAGCCATGCTCTTAAATATTTGCTTTTTTCCTATTAAAAGGATTTATTTCTAATTTTAGTTATTAAATTTAGCAATATTTTATCGAATTATCAATTGTAGCTGTTAGTGTAATCCAGTCTTTTCCGTGACTGTTTTGAGAAAAACATATGAATTTAAATGACCAATTGTCTGAGGTAATACCCTTTCAATTATTCGTTTGCGGTCCTTTGCAGTCCTTTGTGGTTAACGTTTGTACTTTACGTATTCTGGGACCATAGATCTTTTATAGATCCGATATGCCGTAATTCTTGCATGGTTTTGTCCATGTTCTATAGGTTGGTTTTGGCCAATTTTCTATTTTCTCTGCGAGACATCAACTTGACACTTGTACTCTTGCCCCCCAGAAGACACGTGGTATGGCGTGATTCTGTGGGTGTTGAGAGTTCGAGGTCAGGGCTTAAATCGGAGTGCGCGAATATTTTTCACCAGAGTTTTCTCTGGTTGTTACGCCATACTGACGAGCCTCAAAGAGGGCGACACAGCTGTCTATGGCTACAATCCCGCTTTGTTTTGAGTTCTTTCGGTGTCGTGTTGATGTTTTGCAGAGTAGCACGTAGTGCGATCAGCATTGCAGTATTCTGCTTGCAGAACTTAATATGTCTACCCTTTCAATTCTTAACATTCTTGTTAATTTCTTAGATTTTCACAACTTTCGGATTTGTTAGCTTCCTAAGGCTAGTAATGTGCTAGAGAAATCCTTGATCTTTTCAGACGCCTTACTATTTTAAATATTTTTCGTTTTGAAGGGGGAAATTGATGGAATTTGGATTCTGCCAA